GCTCTTGCTTTCTCTAGTATGCTTGCTGCCTTTCTTTTCTTACTGCGGCTGTTCTCCTTTTTGTTGCTTCCGTCCCCCTTTTTTTTTTATCATAGGCATGACTCTTTTATAGAGCATGAGTTTTGAGGAGTTTGAGTTGAAGTGAATAGCCACTTCTCCGCTGGGACGCTTATCTTTCAGTGTTTAATACTTGGCAAACACTTGTATTTTTTGATAAACTTGCAGGGAGGAAAATTTCAGTCCCATTCAAATACCAGTTTACGGCTGGCATTTTATTTTATTTTATTTTAAATGGGTTGCCACCCCTTCTTTTTGTGAAAACTTCGGGCCCAACAGATGTAAAAATTATCGTTTCAACAGTCATGGTTGCCATGTACGCCATGAAATGACGGCGATGTATGCCATCAAATGACGGCGATGTAATGGATTTGTATATTATGTCACGGTGGCGATGTAATTAATGTAGATGAATATATGTTATGACATGATGGTACGAAGATAATGCACACTAGTTAGTAATTTAGATAAAAATAGGTATGTGTAATCCCTTACTTGCGTTGAGATAGTCATTACCCGAGCCAAGCCGAGCGCATATATGGGGAATTTTTCTTCTTTTTAAGCATGGCAAGACATATTAGAGATAGCATGGCCGAACCAAGCTCATATTTGTCAAGGTTATGAGGCCGAGCCGAGCACATATATTGGAGATAATTTTCCTTCTCCTTTAAGCATGGCTGGACATATTGGAGATGGTGTGGCCGAGCCAAGCTCACATATGGAGATAATAAGGCCGAGCCGAGCACATATATTAGAGATAATTTTCCTCCTCCTTTAGGTGATTGGAAAGTGTTTGAAGGAAATATTCCAAAGTTTTATTTAATAAGGTTTTGTTTAGGTTTATGTGGGTTTTAAATTTGAGGGCATTTGTGTCTATCTAGGTGAGTTTTCTGCTATATTTGAAATTTTTTACAAAAACTGACATTTTTAAAATTAGGGGTCAAGTTTTGGCTATTTTTGATAAATTCTCCCTCTTTTAAGCATGGCTAGACATATTGGAGATGGTGTGGCCGATATAAATAGTGTCCCCCGAGCCTATCGACTGGGAACCTTAAAGTAAAACCATTGTTGGTAGAGCCGATCAACTTGTACTTTGGTGGGGAGAGCTTTTGTTCGAGTAATATGACATGGAGATTGAGCATGCGAGATGGTCGGGTCGGTCATGCGACCTGGTGGTTGGCCAAGCAAGGTGGTCGGGTCGGTCGTTCAACGTGGTAGATGACCATGCAAGGTGGCCGGGTCAGTCATTCGACGTTGTAGATGATCATACAAGATGGTCGAGTCGGTCGTTTGACGTGATAGATGACCATGCAAGGTGGTTGGGTCGGTAGTTCAACGTTGTAAATGACCATACAAGGTGGTTGGGTCAGTCATTCGACGTTGTAGATGACCATGCAAAGCGATCGGGTCGGTCGTTCGACGTTGTAGATGACCATGCAAAGTGGTCGGGTCGGTCATTCGACGTGATAGATGACCATGCAAGGTGGTCGGGTCGGTAGTTCGACGTTGTAGATGACCATGCAAGGTGGTCGGGTCAGTCGTTCGGTGTGATAGATGACCATGCAAGGTGGTTGGCGCTCATCCACGGTGGTCAGGTCTGCTATGTAAGGTGGAGGGCCACCATGCAGAGTGGTCGGCGCTCATCCTTGGTGGTTGGGTCGGCCATGCAAGGTGGCGGGCGACCATGCAGAGTGGTCGGCGCTCATCCTTGGTGGTTGGGTCGGCCATGCAAGGTGGCGGGCGACCATGCAGAGTGGTCGGTGCTCATCCTCAGTGGTCGGGTCTACCATGCAAGGTGGAGGGAGTCCCGGTTCATGTACCGACACAAGGTTTAGGGTTTAGGGTTTAGGGTTTAGGTTGAGATATCATACCTAAGTTGATATCATACCAACACAGATATTAAGTTGAGATATCATACTTAGATATTTATGTTTAGAAATTATTTTATGGTAAAATCACTAAACGAGAGAAGAGATTTCTCATCTTCTTCGAATGCTCTCAGACCCAGCACAAAGGAGCATGGAATTGAGGAGGTGGAAGGCACATGGTACTAATCATGCCTAGAGAAATGGATGAGGGTGCCAACTGGGTGTTTGTATTTGGAGAGAAGCCCCCAAGTCCATTAATGGTATGACCTATCTTGAAAAGTTTTGGCAGAGGAGACACATGGATGTCTTCATAGTTGCTTGGCTGGAGCAACAGGTTGGGGGTGTCGTGACAAAGAAGGGCATTCTTCATGTGTCACAGGCCTTGTTCAAACCAAGAGATGAGGGGCTGCCTCCAATCAGAACAGATTTTCTGGTGAACCTCCTGCCTGCTCAAGGTGCATCCCAGCCAGTAACAAAAATGGTGAGAATAACATGGATCTTTGTTGTGCTTCCCACAGACGGCGCCAAATGTTAACGGGTAAATTTGTACCTAACGGATTAAGACATAAGCACACACATAACACAAGTGTTTGAGTGGTTCACCCATAATGGGGCTACATCCACTATAGTTTATAGCTTTGTATTTGTATTTGAATATGGAGATTACATTGTACATAAGAGAGATATGGGAAGAGAGGGTTGAGAGCTCTGGTAGAAGAGAAATAGAAAGCTTGTGAGAGCTTTGGACAGCTCTTGGAGAAGTGAAGAAGTAGCAGTCGATGGTCCCCTTGCTTGGAGGTGGTGAACTCTCTTTTATAGTCCAAGTTGGAGTAGACAAGGTTGATTGATGGCTGAGACCTTTGTATGGCTAGCTACTCCTTGTTTGGTGGGACGTGACCTATGATAAGAAGGGCTATCCCTTAATTGGTGGGATTTGCTTAAAAGGGGGAGGTGAGGTCAACAAAAGCCTCCAAGCTCACAATCAAGAAGAGCTTCTTGGCTGGGGACTTTCTAGTAAAACCAGTTTTGACCGAGCCGAGCACATATCTGTTGAGGTGGTGAGGTCGAGCTGTGCACATATCTGCTGGAAGTGGTGAGGCTGAGCCGACCACATGTGTGGAGATAATAAGGCCGAGCCGAGACTTAATTGGTGGGATTTGCTTAAGGGGGAAGGTGAGGTCAACAAGGTGCCAACATGTTGATTGGTTGTGAAGGCTGTGAGAAGGTTAGCTTAGTACGTAATTAATATGGCTGCTTCACTTCATCAGAATCCATTGAAGAGCTAAATGTTAATCAATTGTTGATAAGAATTGCTAATTCATAAAGAAAATATATGCACTTGAGAATTAAGATAATGCATTTGCAAAGTGTTAGAAATATTTTGACTAATTGGAATGTGGGCCAACATTGTATCTTCCAAAAGTTTGGAAAAAATTGCTTGCAGTGGCTTCAAATCAAAAGTTAATTTTTGGGGTATAATTTAAATTTATAAAAAATTTGACTTATCCCTTTGAAACTCATTTTCAATTGCTTGCAACCCATCATAATATGTTTCCTTGTCTAAAGCCCATTTTATTTTGTCTAAAGTTCAGTGACTAGGATTTAACTAAGCAAATTACCCAATTATCAAGCTTGATGTGTCAATTTTTATATTTTTCGCCCTTTATATATCATATACGAAATGTATTCTAAGGAGATTACATCAAATGTATTGGCTCTTAGGGCACATTTCTAACATTTCAGATATCAAAAATACCCTCATTTACTGTGTCACATAGTATTTAAATGAGATATTTAGTCATATACCTATTCTTAGTACTAAAACTATAAATAAACCCTATACCATTTAATTTCTATAAACAAACCCAAAAAATGATAGTTGGCCCTATTGAATTTAATTTTGATTATAAAATTACTTTGATGCCCTATTGAGTGTTTTGAGTTTTTTTATGAGGTTTTTGGGTTGGGTTTGTTTTAAGAAATCAATGACAGTTTTGTAATTTAAAAAAAGTTAAAAGCTTTTTTGTTATATTGTAAATGGGTTTTGGGTGTGTTTTTAAAATCCATTTCATATGGGGTCTTTTTATAATTTGGGCTCCTATATTGGGTATAATAGTGAATCTCCCTATTTAAATTGGGTCTCCATTTATTGTGTTGAAATTTCAGCATATTTTATGAAATTCACCGTAATTTTTTCCTGCCATTAAAATAGGAAGAAGTCATGTTTTTTACACTCACCTTTTATGCTTTTACGTGTTTATCTCCTAATATTTTAAAGGTTTATGATAATAGTATGATTAATGTCCTCGAAAGTTGATTTGGTCTCATAGACATGTACCATCCTATATCCTTAATAGAAACATGCACGCATCAATTTGACCACTAACCGTTCAACTAAACAATATTGCGTGGACCTCAATTTAAAAAAAGTACGTTAATTAGATGATATTATGTATTTAAAAAATTGGTAAAAAATAAGCACATTAACATTTTCATGCCTAAATTATTACTCATAAAAGATAAGGAAACTTAGGTATTAGACATAGATAACTTTACTTATTAGTATTTAAGATATTTGATATTTTGGTTTGGGTTTTAATACCTAAAAAAGAATTGTTATTTTGGATTAGGCCAAAAAGGAAGACCAGATTTGTTGACCCACCTTACATTAGTCATTAAAAAGACAATTATACCCTTTTCATTTAAAAACTTAACCCAAATTCGTTAGTTTCTCAGATCTCTCTCTCTCTCTCTCTCTCTCTCTCTCTCTCTCTTCGCGTCTTCTCCCTTTCTCCTCCCCTGTGTTTCGACCGACACCGACAAAACCCCCCAGCCACTGTCACGTCGGCCACCCAGCCACCCGACTGGTCATGTTTTGACCGGCGTCGCACCCCAAGCCAGCTCCGACCTTCCTCCTACCTCTGCTGCTGCTGTTTTGTCGGAAAACCTCGATTTTGATCGGATTTTTACTCGGTTTTCCAATCCCTCGATCTCTCTCCTCCGGCCCTCAAATCCTTCGATTGAGGTATGGTTTTCTAGCTAGTTTCCATTGTCATCTTCATTTTTTTATCTCCGCGTCTTCTCCCTTTCTCCTCCCCTGTGTTTCGACCGACACCGACAAAACCCCCCAGCCACTGTCACGTCGGCCACCCAGCCACCGGACCGGTTATGTTTTGACCGGCGTCGCACCCCAAGCCAGCTCCGACCTTCCTCCTACCTCTGCTGCTGCTGTTTTGCCGGAAAACCTCGATTTTGATCGGATTTTTACTCGGTTTTCCAATCCCTCGATCTCTCTCCTCCGGCCCTCAAATCCTTCGATTGAGGTATGGTTTTCTAGCTAGTTTCCATTGTCATCTTCATTTTTTTAAATAATTTTTTTGGTTTATTTGCCTCTGTTTGTTTGCAGTCCTATTTTTTTTGGCCTACTGTAAAATCTGACAATTATCATTTCTTTATCAGTAAAAAAAGAACAAGAAAAAAAATGGTATTTAAAAACCTTGAACCTGTTCGAGGCATTATGTGTTATGCTTCTTCTGTGGGGTTAAGTTGAAACTTTAACAGTCATGATTGTATTGGCTTTGATATCTTCCAACCACCAATTGCAAGTGCTTCTATGAATTCACAGCAGGATAGTTCTAACCTTTGTGCTTTTACTCTGGTTTTGATAGTTGGTGTTTCCCAAGGGTCTCAATTCAGCTCCAGGAAGGCCAAGGGTGGCTCCAAGTAGTCCGGTCATTTTCGATGTGAGTTTAGAATACGTACCAGGCCTTGAAATTGAGGAAGAGTAAGAGAACAGAAGAGAACAGATACCTCCCTTCTTTAATTTATCATTTCTTGGTTGTGCCATTTGTTTTTTC